CACTGAACCGGGGACCGGCAACGGGATCGCAACCCTCGGTGTTGCTCCCGCGCCTCGCTCAGCCAGTGAGCGGGAACCGGCCTGCATATGGGATCCGAACCCTCGGGTGGGAGCGCCGCCTTGCTTCCCAAGCGGCGCACTTATCCAGTGCGCCACCGGGCCGGCCCGGATTTTATTCTTTAATCTGTTCATATGATGTTACATTGGTTGTTTTCAATTAAAAAAACAACAACATTGCATTCCTGTGATAAAACTTACTTGCTGGTGATACATTATCATCTTCATATAGTGATGGGTTCAGTTTGCAAAACTTTTGTTAACACTTATTGCACCTGTGTTCATGAAGGCTTTTGTAATGCCATTGTTATTACAAGGTCATTTTCTAGTTTGGGTATCTGTCCTCATATAGTGCGTTTAGACATATTTATTCTCTTCAACTTTCTGAAAGAGTTTGTGTAAACTTGATATTATTTCTTTTTTGATGTTCAGTGGAAATCCTTGTAGAAGCCGTCTGGGTCTGAAGTTTTCTTTGTTGGAAGGTTGTGGATTTTTTTTGTTTTTTGTTTTTCTAGCCACCAATTAGTTTCTCTAATAAATGTAGGGCTATTCAGATTTCTTTTTTTAATTAATGAGCTTTGGTAGTCTGTGTCATTCAAAGGCTTTGTCCATTTCATTTAAGTTGTCTAATTTTCTGGCATAAAGTAGCTCATAACCCTCCAGTAATATTCCTCTACATCTATAGGATTTGTAGTGATGTTGTCTCTCATTTCTGATATTGGTAATTGGTGTTTTCTCTCTCCCCCCCCCCAATCAATCTGACTAGCAGTTTATACATTTTACTCATAGTCTTAAAGACTCAACTCTTGGTTTCATTGATTTTCTCTATTTTCTTTCTTTTTTTTTTATCGATTTTTAAAATCTTATCATTATTATTTCCTTTCTCCTGCTTACTTGGGTTTTAATTTGCTCTTCTTTTTCTACTTAAGGTGGAAGCTGAGGTTATTGATTTGAGACCTTTCTGGTTTTCTAATGTT